CGCCGGCCCCGCCGCCCTTGCCGCAGCCCTCGGCGTCCTTCTTGTCCTCGCCCGCCTTGGCCTCGGCCGGCAGCAGCCCGGGCGAGCAGGCGGAGGCGCTGGAGGTGGGGCTGCCTGTCCTTGGCGTGAACGGCTGGCAGGTGGCGCTCGGCACCCGGAATCCCGACTTCTCCCCGCCCGAGACGCCCCCGGAGGAGGCGCCCGCGCAGCCCCCCGCGCCCGGCTCCTTCTTCTCGGCGCCCGGCTTGGAGTAGGGCTTGAAGCTGGACTTGTCCTCCACGCCGATGTCGCTGAGCTTCAGCGGGCCCGACTTGGAGTCCTTGTCCCCGCCGGAGCCATTGGACGTGACCGAGGAGAGCTTGGAGGAGGGGGACGGGTCCGGCTTCCCGATCTGGGAGCAGGTCTGAGCCAGCAGGGCCAGCGGGCTCTTCTTGGCGTCCAGCTGCAGGGACCAGAGGGACACGCACACGCACTCGGTTACTCGCTCGCCAGCGCTGGAGCGGAGCCGCGGGCCCGGGCGCACAGTCTCGTCTCGTCTCGTCTCGCCTCGTCCCGTCCCGTCCCCCAGCCCCCCCCCGCCACCGCCACGCGCGGGACACGGAGGCTCCGGGCCCCGCCGCGCTCGGCTCGGCGCCGCCGGGACTTCGGCGACCCGTAGCGGCTGCAGCCCTGATCGCTGACGCGGTTTATAAGCAGGGCCAGGGCGCGCCTCGGAGGGGATCGCTCATTTGCGCTGCCCCCCGGTTAAAAAATAACAAGGAGAGGCCGGGAAGAGACTCGGGAGGGGACACGGGGCTGGTTCCCACCCAGCGAGACATCAAGACGGGGACTGTCCCGTCCCCCCGCTGCCAGCAGAGCAGGATTTCCTCCGCCCGGGAGTGCTGGCGGGGGGCTGGATCCTGATCCCTTCGCTCCCTTCCTGTGCCTCCCCCGCCCCACCGCTCATTCTCTCACAGTCACTTCCTTTAAAATTGTCCCCGAGATGCGCCCCCCCCAGCAGCGGAGCCGGGCCCCGACACAAGGCAGCCCTAGGAGAGGGGACGGAGCTCACGTGCGGGGGGGGGGGGATCCCGTGCTCGGCTCTTACCTCGATGGGGCTGACTGGGGTGGAGGGCAGGGGCTGCAGGTACTCGGGGTGCAAGATGTGGCCGGTCCGAGCCGTGAGCATTTTGAGGACCTTGATGGGCAGGCGGTTGGCCTGGCGCAGCGGGTCGGACGGCGGGACGGGGTGGAAGAAGGGCTTGGTGCTGCCGCCGCCGCTGCCTGTATTCCCAGCGTGTCCGTCCTGCCAGGCGAGTCCCGCGCCGCCGCCCAGGCTGCTCCCGACGTCTCTGCCGCCGCCGCACTTACTTCTCGGAGCAGAAAGCGCGGGCGCTGTGATCATGACCCAAAGCCTCGCATGAAAGCTGGGGCGAGCCGCGCCGGCCGCACTCGGGAGCGCGCGCGCGCCGCGCGGGGCTGAGCAGCGCCGGG